AAAATCTGGAAATGGTTCCTCTTTTTATTTCATTTGATAGAGCTCTCTATCTGCCCTTGCTTTCTTGTTGGGTCTCCAAAGACTGTATTAAGATACTCTAAAAAGTCAACTCCTGTGCCTTCTCCATTTTCTGACAGAGTTCTTGCTGCTGCTGAGACCATCTTTATTGCATCACCATCTAGTTGTGAGAAGATGTACATGAACTGGTCAAAAAGAGAACCCAGGGCTATACCATTTCTTGAAAGCTTGTGGAGAGCTCCTATGTGCCACTCATCCCACAAAGTCCTATCTCCTTTAAATTTGTCAAGTTTTTGTAGCCTTTCTTGAGCATCTTTAGTCTAGGTCAAACCAATTGTAGCTAGTGTTGGCTTAATATTAGTGGGTTTTGACTGCCTTGCTACTACGAGAGCCTGAGTAGTAGAATTTACACACTGTTGGAGGTTATGTATTCACTTGCTCTGTTTTTTTATTTCCTGACTTTGCTGCTCAAGCTACTGCTGAAGTTGCTTTAATAAATCAAAAAGTTGTAAATTCCGAGGGCCTCCTCTTGTGCTAACCATAGGGGATGACATAGTTGCCAGTCTTAAATGAAATAATAATTGGTGGTGTTGGAAAGTAATTCAATTTGCTCTGCATTGAGCGTAGCGCATCTCTCAGCTACTGAGTCATTGTCTTGATGACTGAGCCCATACCACGAACTACACGTTCGCAATGTTCATAGATATAGACAAGAACAATTTAACAACAAGAATCCATACCTCAATTTTGTACCTTCAGTTTTGCATTGAACAAAACTTACGTATACGTAAATTAAGGCCAATTGGCACTGATCAGTAGTCCACAGGCGACTACAGAACAGCAAGATTGAAGAGACTGCATTTCCTTTTGACACTCTTCTCTGGGCAGAAGACTAGATCTTCTGTGTAAGCCACGATAAGTGGAGGAACCTGCATGTGCTAATATATCGTGAAATCGTATGCTCGACTGCCACACTCGAAGATATTAGCCCCTCCGATTTGACCGAGAAAGATCAATTTACTGGTTGAAGCAGCATTTCCCAGCAGATTGATTCGTGTCATCCACACGAACAACAGTCATTAAGTTTATCCACTGAACTTGTGTAGACCAGCCCATTCTGACTCAAAATCCAGAACACCACCGGCACTGACTCTAACTTTTTCTATTCATCGTTTTACACCACGATTTACTTGATTTTTGCCCGCGGCACTTTGCAATAAACATCCGCCTTTTTGCGCATCACTTATTGCAACATATTTTTCCCTTTTTTTCATTTTATAAGCATTCCAATTATTTCTGGTTCTTTAGAAATGGCCAGCTCACAGGACTTTCCCGGCCAGAAGTTATTGTCTGAAAATTCACCAGAAACGCTCTACACACCAAAGGCAGACGGATTATTGTCTAACATGGATTCCGATCACCAGGAAAAAGAATTGCTTAATTTAATTGAAGTAACAACTGTGACATACAGGAAAAAGGGTTCTCAAGTATTGACACTTGAACACTGGAACAAAGAAGCTATTCTCAACGACTCCTCTTCCGCAGCCATCTATCTAAAATCTAATACCTGACAACAATGAATCTTTATCCCTCTCCTCAAATATGTCATTTATTGATTCGCTAGTGCTAGGATAAGACTGTCGAACAGAACATTTTAAAATTAAAAATTACACTACTATTGGAAAGCCCTTTCTCTAGCTATGCACTATTAGTGTTGCATCTACGTTGCTGATTCATTCTTTTGATGAATCAGCTCATCTTGAGAACTTTGCGTTCTTGTCGGAAAATGCTGCTTATCAGCTGGGTGATTCGGTTAACCCCCCCCTTTTTTTTTGCATCATCGGTTAAACCCCCTCACTCTCTGTATTAATAATTCATTATATTGTCCTGTCTGAGTCTAAGACTTTGGAGGACATGCAGGTCCTCTCTGCCTACAGGCCAAGGATACCTATACCAGTAGTATATCCCCTCCTATGCCTCCCATACAACTCCCCTCAAACAGTACCACCCCTCACAAGTCCTCATTCAATCATACACTTAGAGGAGCTCTATGCCCTTTTTTATCTCCCCTCTCCAGCCAACGAAACGACGGCTATTTGCGGGTGCATGGCAGCCGGGGAAAATCGCAAAAACTACTGGCTGCGGGGCTCTTGTAATACCGAGAGTAAGACTAGATCCGAAGGCATAGTGCCTCTTCTGAAGCGTTCGAAGAGGCCACCTGGCTGGACGCTGCAGACTTGTGTGTACCTCGGGAAATTCACCCTCTGCCTTTCTAGCCTCCTTCTGACTCCTTCCCGAAGGTCGTGCTGAAATGTCAGAAAAGTCTTGACAGAGAGTGATTGCTGTATGGAAGCTTAGCCCAACTTCTTTTGTGCCGTCCAGGGCGCTGGGAGTGCTGTTGACTCATCGACAAAAGAAGTCCTCCTGGCTAATTAGCCGAAATCTTGGTCTTGGCGCCCGCAAAGATTCCAAAGTTGAAAACCCCTCGAAAATGTCAGTCCCAGCATGGTCTTCAGAGACCTATTCCCCCTCTCGCTCCAAATCTCAGCCGCATGTCCTTCCTCACCATGTATAACCCCATTAGAACATCAGTCCTCCATAAACCAAGACCCGAGCTTTGTATATTATGACTTAATTTCCTCCTTGCGGGTATACGTAGCGTCGTAAATTTGTAGTGAGTGATAGCCGGTGATTAATGAGGCAAGCTCCTGTTTGCAATTGGGGTGACGCCTTTATCGGTCGGCGAGTCGAGATGATGCGTGGTTAGAAAGAGATTGAGGACTCAGATGAGTATGTTAAGAGAGGCATTGTCGAGAGGTCGTCAAATGGAGATATGTTTGAGGTTGCTTTCGACTTCGAGTCGGATGTGATTCTTCTTGGCTATCCCAGATATGCAGAGCATACTAAGCGATTACACCGGCACCACTGAAAGGTGAAGAATTCGTCTTTGCCGGCTTCACTCTCTGTATTTAAAACACACATAGTTTTACATATTTTACTGCATTGTTATTTATATATGCTGTGCGTGGGATGGTACAGTGGTACACCATTCGGGTCGTTTTCCCAAGAAGAGGTTATACGCCGTAAGAGTTAACGTCGAGTGGTATCTGCAAATGAAATCTGAGTGTGAGAGTTCTAAATGTCAAAATGAGTCATCCTGCTTGAAGCACATATCTTCCGATAAAAACCTGCATGGGCCTCAAGGCGCTGAATCATGAGAATGAATTCTTTATATATATATATTGTGCTTGAGGATAAGTTATCAGATTGAAGATTAACGAAGGGGACCAATTCTTGTAAGTACCTGTTAGTCGTAGCCAGAGTTCTCTTTTCTCCTCATATAGTTTAATAAATCGATTTATTCATTACCGACTCGGTTTCCGTCACACTAGAGGTAAGACTATAATGGCGTAGAGTCCAATCATACAGCCAAGGGGATTTTCACTGCAAGGTTTCCTCCTGTGTAAATATTGAAGTTCGTAGACACCTGCATGGGCCCATAGGGCGCCAAATCGGGCTAGATGAAATTAAATTCGAATGAAGATATTTCTCCTCACACCATCTTAGCTGTTCCAGTGCCGGTGTACATCCCCAAATAATATACCAATCACAAAACATGAGCATCGACCACCTCCACATTTGTACAAGGGAGACCATTCTGTTGTGTGTGTGTTTTATTATACTACTTGAGTCTCTAACTATCTAGCACATTGGGCTCCTCTCTGACCCAGGCCACACCTTGTACAGTGCTCATTGCCTCTTCTGTTACTTTTAAAATCATGGATACATTGCCGGTGATGAATAGCCATACAGCTCAGTGTTTACCCGTGGAATTCAGCCATCTTTTCCACGGAACCTTCTACCCCAAAAAAAATAAAAAATGGTAGCAATGGAAACTGCGTGTGCGGGAAAAAGTCTCAAGAAACCTGCAGCTCCAGCCAGGCGAGGCCCAGACACCGCAACCACATGAGGTGCGCATATTCATCTATATCTCCCTTCTTTGTAACAGTCGAGGCAGACTTGATTCAATCCACCATCTCCGTATAGGGTGCTGGGTACGCCCCGGAAACTCATCGGATGGCATCTCCTCAATGATCAAGGGTTGGTGATGAAAAGGGCTTCGACCCTACCATCTGATCCAATTGTGCTTAGCTTCATGGTAACAGTGATAGGGGAATGTGTTGAGAGATGAAGATGACACAGATTGCGAAAGTGATTGGGAATTCTTATCGAAGTGAGGACTTTGATACTCAATCTCGGCTCTGCAGACTCTACAGCGAGAGCTGGGGGTTCGTAGGAATCCAAAGTCTTGGAAACTTGCATTTAAAGATAGACTTATCTTAATATACTAAACTTAATTACCGGGTTATTACATATTGTTAATTCACACTTAGAGGTGAGTTCGATATCCCATACAACTATCCACAGAAGTCTAGTCCGAAATTGTATACTTGTTTCTGGACATATCTCCTTGAAATTCTTTCCGATTTCTAAAAATTGGTCTTTGACGGCAGATTCACATGTTTCATACATCTTGTAAGTGATATTGATGTTGAAGACCATTATAAGCCCCGGCTAGGAATACCGATGTTGTAGTTGATTTGATAATGTCTGGCTATGACACATTGGCCTTAATGAAGGGGATATTGATGCCCCTGACACCTCTGAAATTCAAGGGATCCATGAGAGATTAGATATACCACATCTTAGTCCTGAGGTAGCAAGTCAGGAACAGTATTAATTGGCCTACTGGAATGTGGATTGGTGCCTAAGTTTAGGTTATTGATTGATCGACTGTCAGAATTGGATTGGGTAGGCAGGACGTCTGGTTATCCTATTAGTTACATGTGCCATGACGGCGCTTAGTCATAAACGTTGCTGTGAGTGTCATATTTAGGTAGAGATAAAATCCGGCGGTTAGAAGTGGATCTACAAGCAAGCCCAACCATTTGGTATTTTGTGTATGCTTACTAATACATATAGTTTGCTCACTAATTTCTCTTTTTGTGTGGTTTGATTTTTCATCTCATAAAGATATTGTTCATCTCGTCGTAATTCAAATATTTTCAGAAAACAGGTTGGACGAAGAGGCCGTAATCACTACAGACCAAGCAGGAAAACCATTATGAGTAGTAAAGATTAATTGGCGAACCAACGAGACAAATCCAGAGTCATCACCATTGCATGTAAACCGAGAAAATTCAACAACACTTATCAGTGAAAGATTGTGATCACCCAACTACTGGCTTTGCAACCAAGTTTATATTGGATATGTGAGTTGGTTATTATGCTACTTGAGCCCATGACTATTTTGCACATTGGGCTCCTCTATAACTCTGGCCACACCCCGTACAGTGCTCTGATCCTCTTTTAGATCGAATCAGTAAGTAGTCAGAGATGGTTCTCGGTCGTTTCTGATGCGATTGATCGAGAACGCCGCAAGTTATGGTATCCGTGATCGATACCGTGCCTCATTTTGCACATGAGCAGACTATTGATAACCGTAAATAATTGTGATAAGCAAGATTAATTAAATGGATAGGAAATGTTTGTTTTTGATTTAATGTCCTAAGATGAAGCATAAACCTACCTTGAAACAAAATGAACGTTAGGGTATAAATTTCTGTCGATTTTCTGCGATTTACTACAATAATTTTCAAGTCTAACTGTCAAGTTTGCACAACTTGGACTGAGTGTATTATTAGCTAGAAGAGTAGGGATCTGCAGCAAATAATGATTGGTCTATTCGAACGCTTCAGAAGGATAATTATGTCAAGATTTCTAACCGTGATTATGGTCCTAGATGAGTCCTATCCTCAATCCACTCTCACACTGTATTCAAGCTTCAATACACTCGTAAATGGCTTTTGGGTTGTCGGTGGGGCTGGGGAAGGATCAGAGCACAAGGCTTCTCTGAGTGTATGACCGAATGTAAACTTGTGAGAGGTAGTACCATTATAGAGGAGATTAAATGGAGATTGAGAAAAAATATCGTTAAGATCATGGAAATCTTTGACTTGTAGGTATAGAGGAGCTTCATATCCTACATAGTCCTAGGTCGAGGTTGGACAATTCAACGTTGATTCCAGACGGAGTTATACTTAGATACACGTTTTGTTTTGTTCATTTACGTGCTAGGTATAGGGACTACCGCTGCACTCCTACTGGAGCTTAAGCACGGGTGGGGCCGGGCTGGTTCAGGTTAACTACCATTAAGTACATCTACCACGTCCCACCTAGATGACCGGAGCACCTTAGACTTCACTCATGTGTTGAATCATGTCAAGCCCAACTGTCCAGAGAACCTCCTTTTGGCGCGCCGAAGCGCAATATCCTCCTCAGCCTCGGCCACCACGCGCCCGAGCCCTTGGCAACTTCGCCATCTGTAACTTTTCCCTTCCATTCAGTCCCAGCTTTGGCTCACCTCAGCATCTTCTCATCTCATCCAGGGGTCGTTTTCTTCGTTGGAGGCCTCATCCAGTCGCCCACCAAGGCTTCCTCAGTTTGTATTCCCTTTTGATTCCTTCATGTAGCATCCCTCTATTCTTCAGCCGATCTCGTCACCTCAGAAGCTTTGCAGAAAGTCCACCCCTCCGGCCTTGCCCCGTCGCTGCCGTACCCCTAACAGTGGAGGTCGAAAACGCAAATGAGAGCTCAAGACCGAGGCACCGGTGCCCCAGCCTTTGTCGAACGCTCTGGTTGGTATGCTAGCGAAATGTGGTACGTATTTCGTCGGTGGCGATTCGTCGTAGGTCGAGTTGTTGGTGCCCTTGGCCGAGGTGAGGACGCATCTAAGGCCGGTATTTCGACCGTACCTTCACAGCGACTGGCAGTTGCGTAGGGTCGGATATCTTCGTGCTTCTTTGTTGCGATTTCGCTTTTGGAGGTATGGGATTGCTTAGGTAGGTGATGAGATGATTGTGGAGAGGGCCGCAAGATGAGTTTGGCTAGGAGTGATTTTCCAGAGAAGTAGAAAATAAGATGTTGAAGGTGTCAGTTTTTGTAATACGAACATCAGATTGGTTATAGCCTGTCTGCGGTTCGTATCTGGGGTGTAGATGGTTGATTACGTTGAGTTGTGCAGTCATGAAATCTCTGCAAGTCGGTTTTTCGACCAAAAATTAGCCAACACCACTCCTCCAGATCGCCAACTCGACGAAAACTCTCAAATTCACCCTTTGTCGTGACTGAATCTCGGCTCTGGGAGAATATTTCACTCCCAGGTTCGTAGAGGACACCACTGACAGGTGTTCAGCCTTCGTCCTCCACATAGATAAACGTGTTTCACCTGCTTTAAAACTTGCCGGGCTCTGTCGGCGCGACTTATTTTGGCACGCTAGAGATTAGGCCGTCCGTATCTACTCCCGTAACCCCACATGTTAGCCCCAAATCCCCCCGCCTTGGTGACTTAGACTACTATTACACACCTAACACAAAGTCGATTACCAATCTACACCAGTCGAGCCTTGACAGCATCTAGCCTTTCTCTTGGTTGAGAAGCTTCTTAATTTTTGGAGATCATTTCAGACTAGTCTTCGTACTCGATCACTTCAACGGCCCTTGGATACTTTCAGGCTCACGTTTCTTCAACAATAGTTAAAATAAACAATAAGAGCTGCTTAGAAACAGGTATCCATAGGCTTCGAGAGTTCAATACAAAAATGTCGTATTCTCGCAGCCCTAACGTATTGGACTATATAGCAAATCTCAACACAATACCCTCGGCGCAAGAGATGAAGTCAAATAGTCCCGATAACTTCAACATGAAGGAAGATCTAGCAATGTTTTCGAATGCACAATTCTTTAATTTTGATCTTGGTCACGATGCCGATCTACAACAGACGACCTTTGAACCGCCAATAGATCTGACAGTTCCTCTTCAAGGTATGAGAGATTTCTTTAGTTTCTAAAAAGCTGATGTGCTCGGTCAAACTTCTCTGTTTATCTTCGACTCGATCTATTTCAGTGCGATTATGCAGATTCGCAATTAGTGATCAGAAACTTGTTCAAATTTTTAATTTTAAAAACTATGATTTTGATTATACTCAATATAATTTATATGGAAATAGCAAACATGACTGCAGTTAAATTTTATCACTACAAAATTGCATCCTCTATAAATGCGGCTCAAATTTGGTCATAAAGCGTGATAAAGCTTTTTTTGTTTGTTTCTGTGTGGAGAAATCCTTGTCTACTGATTCAATCATGTTCTTACATCAACAAAAGAAAGTGCTAACAAAAGAGAAATAATAGGCGATTTTCAATTCGATGATTTCAACAATTATTCTACAGTACTTGAATCTTCAAAAAGAGTTAGCGATAGTGTTTCAAACACAGTCAATTCTACCATTGCACAGTATCAGACAGCTTCATCTCTGATCAATTCTTCCCCATCAGTCGCCGATAAAGTCAAAGCATTCAGCGTCACATCGTCTTCATCACCCAACGAAGTCATAGAGACCTCTCGTCAAGCAGCAGAGGAAGACAAACGTCGACGTAATACTGCAGCCAGTGCTCGTTTTCGTGTCAAAAAAAAGCAACGCGAGCAGGCACTCGAAAAAAGCGCCAAAGAAATGTGTGACAAAGTATCTAAGCTTGAAGAGCGTATCAATGTACTCGAGACTGAAAATAAATGGTTGAAAGATTTAATTACTGAAAAGAATAATGGAATAGAACGCGATATATGGGCAGATTTTGAAGGTTTTTGGAAAAAATACACCGAGCAACGAATAGCGAGTAGGCGTGCCGGTGCCATTATCGAGCAAAAGCCTACAGGTGACAGCGCCAGACAACAACATGGTGTTGTGTAATGAACTAAAAAAGGTACATAATAGGCCTTATTTTGGCTACATTAAAAAATCGGCATGCCATTGGAGAGGAAACAGTGTAGCGCTGTAACATTTATCTGCTATCTGGCAGTTTAATTCCGGAATCAACCAGCGGTCCAAACAAATAAACTCAGTCCTGTGTATGATTGGATGCTCGTTCGGTTAAATTGACTGGACTATTGATAAGACTCAAGGCCAAGAAAAACCTCACCCTTGAACCTGTGCTACATCCAAAAAAGTTATTGGTAGGATGAGATTTGTGTAATTATCATGACTCAATTTGAAGCCAAGGCACTGTGTGGGGATCTTGGCACTGCTAAGAGCGGAATAGTATGTCCCATAAGGTTTCGGATTATTCGACCGGTCCGACTTCTCTTGGAATCGTTATTAAATTTCACCCGATATGATTTCTTGAATTCCGGTGACGTAATGATGAAATGGGATCAATGGGTGAACTTGGAATCTTACCAACGTAATATATGTTAATAGTCTCTTCAAGAACTTGAAATCTAAAGAATTGAACGCATCGTCTCTCCGCAGGGTGAAGAAGAGTCAAGAAGCTAATATCGCAAGCTAATCTGACGACTATTAATAAATTCCGATTACGATGTCAACCTCCTGTTGCGCTATTATATTTCACTCGGATTCTAACGAAATAAGCTAAGCCGAATTAGATGTGGAAAACCAGAGCTAATCGTCCTTTTACACGTGCCAAGACTCACAGTTTGCACACCAGACTACTTTATGCATGGCGGAGTAAATAAGATTAGTGGTGTGGGCTCAAATGTTCAGAAAGAGGGGTAGTCTAGACTCCGTGCGTCGAAGCTGCCGTTTCCAGCTACCTGGATAGCTGTCATCATCCGTGCTGAACTAAACTCTCTGAATGCACTATTATGCTGTATCCTTTAGTGCATCAGCCTTACCCTCGCCTCTGTGATACGATCGTAATCTCAGACGCGAATAATTAGATAATCTTCCATAGCTTCTCAGTTCAACCTAGTTTCTTCTCATTATTTTGTAGAAGTATTCTTGAAATTGTGAAGGAGTGTATGGCAAACCATGTGCTTTAGAATTCTCATACCTCTTCGATTTTATACCGGGCCCGTATTTGATGATGTACCGCTGATCTATCGCACCAAGTTGCGGGAGCGTAACAGCTTAATGAGGGTTGAAAAGGAGGGGTTTGATCACGACTATGAACGCCATGGGCAGGGTTATCATGCACGACGTTGCACCAAGATACCCAGAGGGTGGCTGGCTCTATTTCCATAATGTCTGGGCCCAGCCACATGACACTGAGCATGTGTAGTTAATAGAGATTTGCATACAGATGAGATATATTATAAAGGGTGATAGTGAAGGCAAGCAGCCCCGATGAATAACCGAAAATCTCCGTCTTCAAGAACAAAGTGCGATAACTGGGTCGTTGAGGCAAAACATTCGTTGAGAATTGGTCCAGGCTGCCTCTGTGATAGTGAGCAGCGGTAAATTTTTGATGCTGGCAACGGCGGCAGCAATCTTGGGAATACAGCACGGTTCATTGCGGCCCTTGACGCAGGCACCCTCCTGCCACTTATCTTTTTTAAGCCAGCGCGTTAACTCGGGCTCCTGTGATGCATCATTGTCTGCGAGAGCACGCGCGCCGGCATGACTCGGGCGAAGCTCACACCACGGGCCGTCTGTCTCGAGGTGAAGACGGTCAAGTGGCACAGCACGCGCGACGGCACAATTGGCCTCGGTCTTCAGCGAGCAGCCGTTGAGGCCAATATGCCATCCGTGTGCAACCAACTCTTCCATTTCGGTGAGGGTCCCGGTGAAGCTATGGACGACACCGCGCCGTGGTAGTTGTGACTCGCGTGGGCACAGCACCGCCATGAAGTCAGCGTGGGCCGCCCGTGAGTGCAGGAAGAGAGGTAGCTGTAGGGCCACAGCCATGTCAAGCTGGCGGGCGAAGAATGTGTTTTGCGTTTCCTTCGGGCTGAGCGCAAGGCGATCGTAGTCGAGACCGATCTCACCAAAGGCTACGGCATGGCCTGAATTTTGCGCCGTGCGCGCCAGTGTCTCGAGTGCGTATAACTGTTCCGAGGCAGGAGTGGGGCCAAGGACGAACTGCTGGCTGCTGCACGGGTGTACTCCAACCGTAGCATAGCAGGTTCCTGGATAGGCGTTGGCGAGCGCGACGGCCGCATGGCTTGAGGCGAGGTCAGAACCTGTCACGATGAGATGATTGCAATTGACACGCTGGCCACGCTCGATGACGGCAGCGAGGTCGGGGGGATGGCGCGAAGTGCCATTGTAGATGCCTAGATAAACGGGGTCGGTGAGATTTATCCCAATCTAGCACGTCAGACGCAAAATTGTAAGCCCTCGTTCGTCTGCGTGCCATCATTTGCACAGGCGTTCTAGCATGGGGAGATAACTTACATCGATATACCGAGGCAATCCGGAAGCTTGTGGACATCCCTCGCTCATTTTTGCTGTGGTTAGGGTTGTCCCTGCAATTCCTAGAGCACGAAGGACTGACAGGTTATCTTTCTGTCTCGACCGATCAAGCCACGTCCTTTGCCGAAGTCTGTTCAAGATCATGCAGAGTTACGATAAGATGCCAAATCGGCGTCGTACTTGTCTGAAGTGGTGTGCGAATCATATGTCGTTGAAGTGTAATTGGCGTGGTAGGTTGTAGATCACGTCGATACAGCTCGCTACTCGAGGCAGAGCCTTTAATCGGTCGCGCGCGTGACCGATTGAATTGGGAATATTGCATTGTTTTTACATCGCCCAAGATATAGCTTTCAGTATCTATCAGTACTTGTGAAACATACTTTATACACCAAAATTATCAAATAAAGGCCTTTAAGGAAGCTATTGCAGTCTTTCAAAGCCTGAGGCTGAGTAGAGACTTTGATTCTAATCCATTTTGGATAGCGCCACCCAAGGCGAAGCGAAGCGTAAGCACTAAGCCCATTATCCAGGACTAATGCCAGATTAGTCGTGACACTGACGAGGTTGATCAAGTCCCCACCTAACAGCGCTAATTACTATCAAGCTGGTCGACTGTTTGATCAGTCTAGGGTTATGGAGCTGGGCTTGATCCCCAGTCCGACGGAGAATATGGCCACGATGTTTCCACTTACAAAGTAGGCTTTTAGCATAGCAGGACTCATATATTAGTTGATTAATGTGCAGACGAACTCAGTGAGAGATTTGCCTTGGGCAGAAGAGTGGACGTCGGAGCTTTTCCATGAGGAAGGGGGAAGGAAGAGCTCTGATCTTGGCAAGTATTATAGGATCCAGGCCCAGATGTCAACACCAACATTTTCAACTCAGCCACCTAATTTTCAGGGCCACAGCAGATTGACAGAATCTTCATACTTCCAGGCAAGAACTGACATAGGAAATTTGAGAGCATATTTATATAAAATTGGAAAGACAAAATATGATAACTGTAATTTTTGCCATAACCAGAAGCGGACAATGCAACATTTGATACTTCATTGTCAGATGTTTAAAACTGAAAGAAAAGAATCATTCCAAAAAATAGAGCCATTCACACTACCAATCTTATTCAGAACAAAGAGAGAAAAACAAGCATTGCTTGATTTTTTGAAAACTTCGAGGTGTATATCTATACACAAAGGAGAATAATTAGGACAAAACATATTGGAAATAAAGAGAGAATAATGGAGGAAAGAGGATATAATGAGGATTTTTATTTGCTTTGAATGTATGCTAAATAAATTGTCAAAGCTAGCTAGCTGAATACAATATGATTAAAAAAAAAGAGAGATGTGCCGGCTGTGGCGGGAAGTTCAATTGTGACTATCGCCCACAAACTAATTGGTCCTGCAAATGTTTCGGAAGACATGATAATTAGTTGCAATGAGCTCAGTTGTTAAATGCTCCCACCGACTATCTGACAGATTATTGGCAAATTTAAGTGACGTAGTCGATAGGAAATTTACATGAGCCAGTTGGTTGGGATATCTCGACCCAGAATCGGTATCTCTGCTCAATAAATAACTAGTTTGAATCGAAAGAATGGTTCTTAAAAACAGGTTGTTGGCCTCAGTTCTGTGCACCGGTTGCCAACTAATGACATACCAATTAGCCGGCTTAGAAAGTGAAAGTGAAGAAACATTTCAAATTTTCTTGATGCTGCCGGCAAAGGACGAATTCTTCACCTTCCAGTGGTGCCGGTGTAATCGCTCAGTACGTGTGTGTGTTTTATTGTACTACTTGAGTCTCTAACTATCTAGCATATTGGGCTCCTCTCTGACCCAGGCCACACCTTGTACAGTGCTCATTGCCTCTTCTGTTACTTTTAAAATCATGGATTCATTGCCGGTGATGAATAGCTGTTCAGCTCAGCGTTTACCCGTAGAATTTATCCATCTTTTCCACGGAACCTTCTACCCCAAAAAAAATAAAAAATGGTAGCAATGGAAACTGCGTGTGCGGGAAAAAGTCTCAAGAAACCTGCAGCTCCAGCCAGGCGAGGCCCAGACACCGCAACCACATGAGGTGCGCATATTCATCTATATCTCCCTTCTTTGTAACAGTCGAGGCAGACTTGATTCAATCCACCATCTCCGTATAGGGTGCTGGGTACGCCCCGGAAACTCATCGGATGGCATCTCCTCAATGATCAAGGGTTGGTGATGAAAAGGGCTTCGACTCTAACATCTGATCTGATTGTACTTGGCTTCATGGTAACAGTGATAGGGGGATGTATTGAGAGATGAAGATGACACAGATTGCGAAAGTGATTGGGAATTCTCATCGAATTGAGGACTTTGATACTCAATCTCGGCCTTGCAGACTCTACAGTGAGAGCTGAAGGTTCGTAGGGGACACCATTGACAGGTGTTGAGAATAGTCCCCCTAATCGCTCAGTATATTCTGCATATCTGGGATAGCCAAGAAGAATCGTATCCAAATCCAAATCGAAGTTGAAAACAAACACATGCATACCTAAAATCAACGAATTCTCGACAAATGTTTGACCCATCATTCTCACGCGAGTCCTCCACCTCATTATTACTGTACCACCTAGCCTTAAATACCGATAATGGCGCTACTCCAATTGCAATCGAGCATTTGCCTCATCAAAAACCGGCCATCTCCCACTACAATATTACGATGCTTTGTATACCCGTAAGGAGGGAATTAAGTTATAATCTACAAAGCTCGAGTCTGGGTCTATTGGGACTGTTGCTCTAACGGGATAAACAACCTAAGGGAGAACAGGCGTCATACTCCCAGAGCCAAGTACAGTCAAATTTCGCAATATCAAAGAAGTTGGCCCACGAGGCGATGATTCAAAATACTCCGCCTTGTCATTTTTTCGCCCCCTGTGACGGGCTAGGAATTTCGGCCAATGCACGAAAGCAATGCCACAATTAAATGTTTATATTTTCTATGAGGAAAGTACGAGCGGGAAGCTATGGCTCTTTATAACTACAATGCCTGTTCCAGATACCCTTGCCCTTTACACGTGATCTGATAATACTCCCGTATAGTGAGAAGATTTACAAACTCGCTTGAGCCTTCAAGATAAGGATGGGCCCTATAGCCTTAGACAGCCCAGCCAGAACCCAGCCGGGCCTAGCCCGTAACACTCCCAACAAGTTCCACTCCTACCCAAGTCTCATCAAGTCTACAAGTACGACCAAGTACATCCTCATCCTAATAACCACACCTCTCTTCTGTTGAAATGTGATATATCTTGGAATGCCAAGAATAACTTATTAGTAAGTCCGGCTAATTTGACTATCAAATTCCCCATTCTATATCACTGTTATCAGTACATCCTTCACCGAAAGTTTAATGCGCATTAGCATTTATTTCACACTAGCATTCCAGCAGATGACTATGTCTCAAATGCAGGTTATTGTTTTCTCGTATCTCATACCAATACAAATGTATTTAGCTTTATATTCCTGGCCCATATATTTGTATGTACATAGATCTACATCTACATGGATCATAACTTACGATCCATGGAGATTGATAAATACTGGTCAAAAACCACAGTTGATAAGATATGCAAACACGCAATCTCACTCTTATCATCTCGGTTTTACTCTGAACCATACATCTAAATACAATTGTTTCCTATGGGATCTTCCTCTCACAACCTCATACGAGACTTACTGCATTGGTCTAACCGCCGACACTGATTCCGCTACAACCCCCATCTCCGCTCAAGCTCATAACTTTAACAATAGGTCATGGAGTTAAGGGAGTTAGGGAAGTAGGAATGGAATGGAATGGTACATGCAAATACGAGTAAGAATATTAGAGCAGACAGATGTATTTAAGGAACTCGGAGGACATTGATGTTCACTAGCTTCTTGTCTTATTCATGTTATAGAGATACATTGAACTACATCTTGAACCACGTCTTGAACTACACCTTGAACCACGTCTTGAACTACATCTTGAATCACGCCTTGAACCACGCTCACACTCCTACTGCTGAACAAAACTTTGCCCGATGATAATTACGAGAAATGGGTGAGTAAGGTCAAAAATGTTGCCGGACGTCTCGAAAATACACCGGAATATAGACCAAAGAACTGTTCCGGAAAAAAGACCTGGTACATTCCTCAAAACGGTAATAATTCCCAACCAGCTTTCGGCAAAGTTCAAAGCAACTACCAACCATCTCTCGATGCCAATGGAGACACAAATATGGGGGGAATTAGCTCCTTACGAGCTCTACAGGCTGCCATAAATGCCCTCGGGGAAAATCAGGGTAAGTCCTCTGATGATAGACCAAGAGCGCAATGGAGGTCAAAAGAAGAGTTTCAGCAGCTTTCTGACGAGGATAAATGCATCAGGTGCGCAAAAAAAGGACACAAGACACTGTCATGCCCTAAATACCGACCTGCAAAAAAACCGACAGCCATAGCACATGTCAAAATCTCGGGGAGTCATAGAGAAAAACCTCTTGCTCAATTGGAGGACACGGACGAGTCGGAAAATTCAGTTGATGGGACTTCGGGGGAAGACTGAGCCCTGAGCAACGTCGCGCTCAGGGTTGTAAGGGAGATCTGCCCAAAAGTGTTGCTACAGTACTTAAGAAAATGAATAGTAATCCTTTCCTAATAAACTGTCAAATAAACTCAAGTTTTTATGTTCAATCCTTGATTGATACAGAATGCTTGTATTTTTCTGCGTTCTCTACTTCTTTGGTAAATAAAAATAAACTCCCGCGCATCCAGATCCCACCAAAATCTCTTCAACTTGCTAAGAATGACGGAAGAGAAAGAGTAATAAATGAAATCACATACGCTAATGTTGACATTGACAGAAGGCTAGAAAAAATTTATGGCTACTATATCCAAGATTTAGCGTATGACATAATTTTAGGCAAGCCATGGATGGAGCATAATGACGTAGTGTATTTGTCAAAAAAACGAGCTATTAGATTTGGCCAAAATAAGACAGGCCTAATTGTCAGAGAAAAAGATTGGTATGATTGTAAAGCGCTAGAAAGTATAAGACAAAGGGTACATCATGCTGCCACGGCTACAAAAGTAGCTGCAGCTCACTTTATCAAACTTGCAAAGCCTGCTAACCAA